GTCCTCCAGCTAGCGGACTTCTTGGCAGTATGCAGCCATCTTGGCGTTGTGGCAGCTTGACTCCTTCATGACTTGGTCGATGACCAGCTGGGAGTCACCCCAGACGTCGAGGCGTTGGATACCCAACTCGATGGCGATGCGCAGGTCATTGATGAGTGCCTCATATTCGGCCACATTGTTGGAGGGGAAATGGATGCGAACCATGTACCTCTTGCGTACCCTAAGGGACAAAACGAAGACCAGCCCTATGCTGGCGCCTTTCTTCATCAGCGATCCATTGAAGTACATCGTCCAGTACTCCTAGTCGTCGACTACTGGTGGCATTTAGACCTCGGTCCACTCTACGATGAAATCAGCTAGCACTTGGGACTTGATGGTTGTCCAGGAGGCATACGAGATGCCTTGTCCAAATAGCTCGAGTGCCCACTTCGTGATTCTTCCTGTGGCATCCTGGTTTTGGATGACCTCACCGAGAGGGAAGGACGTCACGACCGTCACCGGATGTGACTTGAAGTAGTGGCGTAGCTTCCTCTTGACGATGAGGACGGCGTATAGGAGCTTCTGGATTTGGAGGTTGCGGGTCCTGGAATCAGACAGGACCTCGCTAATGAAGTACACGGGGCACTGTACTTTGAGGGCATGTCCCTCTTCTTCTCGCTCCACCACCAGGGACCACTTGCGTAGTGGCCGCAATGTAGAGCAGAAGCGGTTCTCCGTCGGTTGGAGGAACCAGGATCGAGGCCTTCGTCAGGAGCTGTTTGACCACGTCAAGCGCCTCCTAGGCCTCGGGTGTCCATTTGAAATGGTTGGCCTTCTTTAGAAGCTGATAGAGGGGGAGACCTCATTCACCGAGGTACGAGATGAAGCAACTGAGCACGGCGAGGCACTCTGTAACTCGCTGTACCCCCTTTATGTTCTGAATCAGACCCATCCTTCTGATGGCTGAGATCTTCTCTAGGTTGACTTCGATGCCACGCTCGGAGATGATGAAACCAAGTAGCATATCCCTCGGGACCCCAAAAATGCATTTCTCGAGGTTGAGCATAATGCCGTTTTCTTGAAGTTTTGCGAAGGTCTGCTCAAGGTCGGCTACGACATGGTCAGCCTGTTTGGACTTGACCACGATGTCGTCCACATAGGCCTCAATGGTTCACCCAATGAGGTCTCTGAAACACTTGAGCATACAATGCTGGTACATAGCCCCTGCGTTCTTCAGACCGAACGGCATTATGACGTAGCAGAATGATCCTAATGGGGTGATGAAGGATGTCGCGAGCTGGTCGGACTCTTTCATCGCGATTTGATGGTACCGAGAGTACGTATCAAGGAAACAAAGGGTTTCACACCCTGAGGTAGAGTCAACTACTTGGTCTATGCATGGCAAAGGAAGCAGATCCTTTGGAGACGCTTTGTTGAGACCCGTGTAGTCAACACACATTCTCCATTTCTCACTCTTCTTTCGTACAAGGACGGGATTGGCTAACCACTCTAGATGGTATACTTCCCTGATGAACCTTGTCGCCAAGAGCTTTGCGATCTCCTCGTCGATGGCCCTGTGTTTCCCCTCGTCGAAGCGACGTAGGCGCTGCTTCACCGGCTTAGAGCCTAGCCTGATCTTCAAGGCATGCTCGGTGACTTCTCTCGAAATGCCCGACATGTCTGAGGGTTTTCACGCAAAGATGTCTTTGTTGGCGCGGAGGAAGCCGACGAGCGCGGTTTCCTATTCGGAGGAAAGCATGGTGCCAATGCGCACCACTTTGCCCTTGGAGCCGCTGGGATCTATGAGGACCTCCTTGGCGCCCTCCGTTGGCTCGAAAGACCTGGCCGACCACTTGGTGTTGGGTGCTTCTTCGGTGACCTCCTTTCCGTTGGCCGCAAGCTCCTTGGAGGCGACGATTGCCATGGCATGATCGAAGCACTCGACCTCACATTCGTAGGTGCACTGGAAGGAGGTGCCGATGGTGATGACCCCACACGGTCCCAGCATCTTCAGTTTTAGATAGGTGTAGTTAGGGACGGCCATGAACTTCGCGTAGCATGGACGTCTCAGGATGGCGTGGTCGATTCCATGGAATCCGACCACCTCGAAGGTGAGGGTCTCCATCCTATAATTGGACGGATCCCCAAAGGTGACGGGCAGATTGATCTGCCCAAGTGGCACGGCCTGCTTTCCAGGCACGATGCCATGGAAAGGCGCTCCGGTCGGCCAGATGCGTGATCGGTCGATGCCAATGGGATCAAGAGTTTTGGCATACAAGATGTTGAGGCCGCTGCCTCCATCCATCAGTACCTTGGTGAGCCGCTTCATGCCAATGATCGGGTCGACCACGAGCGGATATCTCCCCGGTTGCGGGATACTCTCCGGATGGTCGGTCCGATCAAAGGTTATGGCAGACTCCGACCATCAGAGGAAGGAAAGCGTGGCCGGCTCGGCTATATAGACCTCGTGGCACGCGACCTTCTAGCGACGCTTGGAGTCATAGGCCACCGACCTTCCGAAGATCATGAGGCAGCCATCCAGCGTTGGAAAGCCGCCGTCCCTCCCCTCGGCGTCGTCTGCAGTCGGCTCGGGGTCCTTCCCATGCCCTCCCTTGTTGAAGCCTCCGAACAAGAATCGCTTCATGAGGCCGCAGTCCTTGTATAGATGCTTCACAGGGAAAGCATGGTTCGGGCACGGTCCTTCGAGCAACTTCTCGAAGTGGTCCGGGGTACCCTCCGCGGGCTTCCAGCCTCCCTTGCGGTCGGCGGCGGCCACGAGCGAGCCCTCGCGCTGCTGCTTGTTCTTCTTCTTGGCGGGATGGTTGGAGGTGTAAGTTGTTTTGTTGAAAAAAGTATAAAACCCTCCCCCCTCCCTCAAATAGCTGTGAAACAGTTCTCTATTTTCACCCATTTCAAGAAGGAGAAAGGCAAAAGCAGGGTTTAAGGTGCTTCTAAAACTATACTACATGAAAGCAGTTGTTTCTAAAAAGCAGGTTTAGGTTGCATCTGTTTAGTTGGTTTTTTTATTTTTTTGGGCAGCAGAAGCACTACTAAACATCATACTCTTTATTTTCCAGCTCTTCAGGCGGTGACCAATGATAAGCCTAACTTCTAAACCTGAGCTCACTGGTCTATGTGATTCACACCAAAATGGAAGTGAATCCTAGTTTATCTATACAATAGAAAACAAGCAAAGAAAGGTAATGGCCCGTTCGGCTTGCTGAAACTTGGCTAAAACTGGCAAAAAAACACTGTTCTGGCTGAATTGTTGTGAGAGAAAAATACTGTTCCGACTGAAAAAACAAGCCGAACAAGTCGGTTTCTGGGTAAACCGAACGGGGCCAATACGTGGTTTATACATTGCGTGTTTGGATGCAGCCCTGGATTGGGAGCACCCACCAGTCACGCGCACACCCAAGGGGAGTGATGTCTCCACACAGGCAACTTCCCCACGCTCCCAACCAAACAGCGCGGTGCATATAGCTAAGTTTTGCATTATATATTTTTGAGTTTATTAGACTAAGTGCCTGTCTGGATCGCAGCCAGATTATTCTAATCTTGATTATGCATAGAATTATTATAATCAGGATTGTTGATTTAAAAAATTAGAGTGTTTGGGTCCCTAGATTATGGTGACTGGTTATGGTTTGTTAAAACGAGAAATTCATATAGTATCCTTTATAGTTTGGCAAGTTGGACAATCGGTTGGGGACAAGTTAGACTTTCAACACCTATAATAATCCCATATAACCTTGGTCTCACCTTGATTATAGGGTTATGGTAATCAAGATGTTTGATTATAATAACCTATCATCTGTTTGGATCAAAATTTAATTATATACCGTAAATTTTGCGGGGAAGGTTTGCCTCAGTTTTTTCTTTCCCCAGATCCCACTCATGTGGGAGCCTCCGGCACTGGGCCTGTCCAATTATTATAATTGCAGGGTATCCAAAGAGGGTCTAAACTCATCAAGAATTAATTGTTACATGTCCAATCGTATATGGATTTGTTTCCATGTGTGTTGCATATGTATTGTAATTCGTGATGTACGAGCTTGTCTACTTCTGTGTGAATATGTATATGTGCGTGATGGATTATTGTGCATGATGTACTTTCAATCAGTTACCTTTTTTTGTATTTTTATATATTTTTTATTTATGTTTTATTATAAATTCCCTTGCAACTTACGGAAATACGGGAAAAAAACTTGTAAAATAGGAGGGGAAAAAACACGATCTGCTGCATTCCCGAGCGCTACCACAGTAGTGCCATCAGACTGGCCCAACTCACGGCTGGCTCACTGCGCCATTGTCCATCCGGCCCGAGGGTTTCCTTTTTACCCTATCAACAAAAGGGAAAAACTCCGAAACCACAACTCCCATCCTCGCCGCCGCCGCAACGCTATCATCTCGCCGCCGCCGCCGCATCATCGGTATGCCACCTCGCCGTGCCGCCCTTGGTGCCCCCATTCTGCCCGATGTTCCTTCGTACCGCCCCACTGTGGTAAGATGGCAAATCCCGCGCCACCCTTCCTAATCTGTGCCTCCTGCAACACCCGGCGCAAATCTCTAGCGGCGCCCAACATCCCGTGCTTGGTCCTCAGCGTTAGAGGCAGCAGCTGCAAGACCTTTGGCAGTGGAATTGAGTAGGAGTGGAACGCCCAGTTTGTCAGCCACTAACTTGTTGACCCCGTGACGTAGGAGAAGAGAGATTTCCCCGCCTCGGATTACCACACTCATTTGTTCAATGACGCTGTCTCGAAGGTTGGACAGACTCGCTCGAGCTCCTGCAACGCAACAAGAAGATAATGTTGGGCGATCGAGCTTACCCAAGCGCCCCGAGCACCGAGCGAGCCCCCACGCCGAGCACCCCCAACTACGGCGAGAGCCCCCATGCCCCGAAGCGCCCCACCCACGGTGAACCGCCGCCTGCTCGAGCCGAAGCGTGAGAGGCCTCGCCGCCTCGCTTCGAGAAGCAATTGAATACCGACTGGCGGGGCCGTGGGCGACGCCGGGCCGCCATGGTTCTCCGGGGTGGGGTGGGGGGTGGGTGCTCGGGTACTCGCTGGTGCTCGGAGAAGCAGCAGCAAATAAGCTCAATTGCATGATTAGATTTGCCTGAGATTTGCGGTTGAGGTGAGGCGAGAGAAAGAGGAAAGCGAAATCGGGTAGAGTGGGAGGGTCTAAAGTCATCGATGACATTCTCGCGATGTGTTATGCCAGAATGGCTAGGTGGCGAAGCCCTATCCATGGATGGCAAATCACCGAAGCCCACTTTCCATAATGGTCGAATTTCAAAAGCCCATCCGATGACTTTGGAGCGCATTTTCTTCCCCCGCCTACCTCCTTCCTCTTTCTTTCCTCACGTGCTCCCGCCCACCTCAACCGCAAATCTGATCATGTTCCCCCTCATATTTGCTTTCAGAACGCCATACACCCCCGGGTACCCCCCCTGAGAACCAAATTGACACTCCTCCATCGCTATAAATCGCTAGTCAAGGGCTCAATTGGTATTCTTAGCTACCGAGGCCTTCACACTTTCGCAGCAGAGCCCGTGATCAAGGCCACTTCCTAAGTGAGTATATCTTCTCTGTAGTTTATAAGCGAGTGTAATTGACATTTTTATAGTTTGGGTTAGCTGATGCCCGACATTATCTTCTGGTTGCGTTGCAGGAGCTCTAGTGAGCCTGTCCAACCTTCGAGACCGCGTCATTGAACAAATGAGTGTGGTAATCCGAGGCGGGGAAATCCCTTTTCTCCCACGTCACGAGCTCAACAAGGTAGTGGCTGAGAAACTGGGCGTTCCACTCCTACTCAATTCCACTGCCAGAGGTCTTGCAGCTGCTGCCCCTAACGCTGAGGACCAAGCACAACAGCTTGAGGCTCGCGCCGCAGTCAACCCAGACTTACATCAGACAGCCGCTGCCGCCAGGGGTACAACAGCAACCAGACGCCAGCACGCCAACCGGGCTCGGGATGCTGCAGGGGTGGAGAGAGCCGCCGTTGAGGCAGCTCCGGCGCCCGTGGTCAATGCCCAGGCCTAGGCAGCCAATCGCCGGTTGCGCAACAGGTTCTTTGCGCTGGCCACTGCTGGCATGGAGCCTGGTAGCTACGTGCTGCTACGGCGTAATACCCGCGCCAGCCAAACTGCCGTTGCTGCGGCCCTTGCGGGCACTCGGACCACAAATCCACCCCACCGGCGCGGCAACTGACCGCATAAACACAGAGCTGTGACGCCATTGACCTCACAAAGCACCCTAACCACACTGTTTGAAATCGTTTCCTTACCACGTCATTCTAGATGTTAAGCTTTAGCAATTTTATGCTGTATGGTACTTTATTCCGGAAACCTTGATTCTATGAAGATTGATAATCTGCAGTAAGGTTTTTGCTATCGTTGCTGGCCTGCGTGGCCTGTAATAAGTAGTTGCTGTCTTACAGTCGTAGATTTGTTAAATGTTGACCTGAAACTCTGTGTTTTGAGTGACGAGCAGCTGTGTTCTGTTCGGTTTGCTGTCTAGCTGAGCCCTTTGTGCTCGGTTGGTTAGCAATATGGATCTTTTAGGTAATTTGCACTGTTCAGTACGTATTCCATGGAATTCATTACATTCAGTATGTTTTTTGTTGCCTGTTTGATATATCAAGTTTGTGGCCATCTTTCAATGCTGCTCATAATATTGATTGCCACAGTTAATGGATTTTATTTTATGGTACAACTTTCATTGATTAGTTTTGTTCGTTGCTTGAATTTGAGTTTGGGATCTCAAAGGAAATTAATTATTCAACATAGTCACAGCTCAGTTTAGCTATCTCTATGCATAACATGATATTATTGTTAGAACATGGACTTTTTGTTAACATAGTGAAAATGTCTTCTTTGGAAACCTGTTGAAGGAAATTTTGCAGCTTTTAATTAAACTGTTGCTGCTGCAAGTATTTAGTTAGATGCTCTCATCCCTCTGGTTCACTACAGGCAACAACTTGGGAAGGTTGGCAAATCTCCTGATTGCCGTAAACACCGAGATATGGGAGGATGTGCACTGCACAACACAGAGCGTCAAAAGAAGTATTTGAACCTATATTAGGCATGGTTTTTTATTCATACGAGGGTTATGATTTCCACAACTTGTATTCATGGAAAGTTTGGTTTGAGATAATCTACAACCGTAATTCTTCGAGGACTAGTGACAGCAGAACAATGCAGGAATTTACCTGTCAAAGGGGGGTAAGCTGCAATTCAAATTAGTAATTTCATTGTTTCCACTTTTAGATAAGGCGCCTTTAGATAATCATCCAAATTCCTGCAATATGAAAGTATATACTATAATGCAGGGTTCAGACAGCTGAGTCCTCTTTTAGATAATCATCCAAATTAGTAAGTTGTGTTATTGACTCGGAATGCAACAGATTTAATTGCTAGATTAACTGAACTTGAATGTAATGCTCTTTTTTTTACATGTTTTCATGGTCATAACTTTCAATGCAGCTTCAGAAAAAAATGCAGGTTTGTCAGTCCAAACTAGTTTTTGTGCGAAGTGTCGCAAGTCTGGGCATACTAGAAAATGTGATCAAATGACTCATACAATGGAGAAGGCCCGGAATGCAAACACAGTATGATACAGTAAATGTGGCCGTAAAGGTCACAACGGTGAAGATTGCTTGTTTAGTTGTTTGCAGATGTGGAGAACGGCACCTTTTTCAAGTAATGTACTGTGACAGTTAAATGAGGCTCAGGTCTGTCCGTATTCTTATTTTGTTAGTGCAATATAATGTATCCTTATAGCATGCAACATCCTTTGATTGCTGCATCGCACTATTATGAGCTGTTTATATTCTGAGACTATTTAATCAGTGTACGGCTCTTGTTTCTTATCCTTTATGCATTAGTGTACTTTTGAAAAAAGAGACGCGACTTTTTTTTTTTTTTTGATAAGGAGATGCGACTTGTTAAACCAGTGTTGTTTCCTAACATACTGCTCTTGTTTGATTAGTTTACAATGGTCAACCAGTGTTCGATACAGAAATGTTTCTACTTACACAGAAGTGCTAACTTGGCATCAGTTTCTTGCGTCAGAGGTGACAATTTTAGAAATTATTTGTTGCTTCGTGCCCCTACATTGCTTGCCACAAACCACATGTCACACAACATCAAAAGCAGAACCAAGGGTGCAAGGGGCCAAAGCCCCCCGTTATACTTGGTGCCCACATTTCGTAATAGCACAAAATATTGCCAAAGTTTGAGGAAATTTCAGATACAAAATTATGGGAAGACTTAAGTACTTTAGGGTTTAGGCAAAGGAACCGAAAGTTGACATCAGGAAACGTTGCACTTAGGTTGCTCTGGCCTCTGGGTAAGGTCAACACATTCCAAAATGCTGCAAGGAATTGATGATATTGATCTTTGAAAAAGAGCACTAACGGATAGATTACTACTCCCTCCATCATAAATTATAAGTCATTTCAAGAATCTTGGAAAGTAAAAGCATCTCAAGTTTAACCTAAATTATAGAAAGAATTATAAAGATTTATGGCATTAAATAGACATACTATGAAAATATAATTAATAAAGAACATAATAATAATACTTAGTTAGTATCATAAATATTATTATCTTATCATATAAATTTAGTCAAACTTGAGATGTTTTGACTCTCTAAGATTCTTAAAATGACTTATAATTTAGGATGGAAAAAGTAATTTGCAAGGCATTTGATGTGGACATAACGATATGCCGTGAACGGCACGTGCGAAATTGATTATGGAGCTTATTCAATATTTTTTTAGAGCTATTTTCTTATGCTGTGCAAGAGTAGCTCTGCCATTATTTCTGTGAGTATGTTGTTCTTGTTTCTCTGTATTGTATTCTGACTGACTTTTTTGGCACCCTCTCCTGCGATGGTGGTTTAGAAAGGAACACGCTGATGATGCGGTGATGCTTCAGGATACGAAATGTGAAATACGAAAGATGCCGCAAGGGTCTCCCAAGGTGTATTCTGCACGTCAGCCGCAACACAAGAAACATAACAGGCGGTTAACTGAACATTTAAATGCATACATATACATATATTTGCTACAAAAGCCTGGGACAGTCGCAGCACCCAGGAGAAACTGCTCTTGTTATTTCCCTTGGAAATATGTACAAGACGCCCCAGTATGTGGTGCTGACACTGTACAATGAGTACTCTTATTGCGGCTAAGGAGAACAACTTACAATACAGTTCTGCAACCTGCAATACAGTTACAAACAAATCAGCAAAAAATCGCGCTACAGAGAAACAGTGAAGATATAAAACATTTGCAGGGGATCCAGTCCAGGGCCAAGTTATACAGTGCAACTGTCTGTAAATCCTGATGAAATGGAACAAAAATATAGAGCTGATAGACGTTGAATCACTGTAACTGAACTAGGATTTGTGCTAGGTAAATTTTAGATCCAGAACCATGGAAATCAATAAGAGTGTTTAAGAATTGGTTTGAATTCCACAGGAGTGTTGAGCAGCAGAAAAATATACCCCTTGAAGGAGTAAACATCACTGCCCCAAACAGCTTCTTCAGGTTTCACCCCTAACAGCTCGCAGGCCTTGAAGAATATCGTAGGTTTTGGCATTTCTGCTGCAACCTAAAAGATGAGCAGCATCCAAGGAACAGAGTTTAAGACAAGATTAATAGGGAAATAGCAGCTAAAGTTTAGAAATAAGCACATAAATACAAGGCAAGAGCTTAATTAGTAAGCTATGTTAAACAAGGTCATCAAGGAATATTCTGAAATGGAAACCAACCTCATCAGAGACAGCAACTGCATCAAACTAGCGGTCACATTTCAGGGCTTGTAAAAGTGGCCGAAGACGAGTGTCAAAGTTGGACACAACAGCTGTTTTGACACCAGCCCTCAATGCCTCAAAAACACGTCATGCATCTAGATCGCAGAGATGCCAGGCCTAGCAAACATATCACACTTTGTAAGCTTAGTAAATATATACCAAAAGAAGGTCAAATACCATTTTGATTGCACACTGTATCTCACCTTTTCAGTTGTATAGTACTGATACAGTAAAGTACTGTAGATCTGAGCAGCCAGTAGATGAACTCACTATGTATTGCCGAAAGAGCCTACCATCATTGACATACCTGAACAAACTCAAATGCATTAGGATTGTAATTTCAGTTGCAGTCCAAGCAGCAGCATGATTTTCGAAAGGGGTTCGAAATCTGGAGGGCTGCAACTGCAAGGCTCCCAGGCAAAACTCTTTTTAGTAACTAGGTTCGTGCCCGTGCATTGCTACGGACTAATAAAAGCTTCAATACAATAAAATTAGCCTAAAAACATTGTTAGATACCTGTGCTTTTATACTGGCAACAAAATCCATTCTTCGTCCCAATAAAATAGGTCCCAACTGCTACTAATGTAAGTAGATGAAAGCCCTCAAATATACAAAATGCCATACATCAAATTTAATTTATTTTCATTTGTCGAATTAAAATCATTTTCGCCATTCCATTTTCATCCCACCTAAGCTCTATCGTCAAGATACAATTCTCCCAACTGCCAGTGCCATCTCAAAAGCATGTGATTTTTATGACATTTCACTTCCATGCATCTTAAATTGACACACTCCATCTCCATGCCTTCGAATAATTGTGCATTGCTCATTGAAAGAAGCTGATGGAAATAAAATAAAATAAAATCAACTTATTTGCAAAAACAACTAACTGCAGTAATCTTGGAACTCCATTTTCAAAAGACAAATACATAATCTCAAAGCTAAGTACATACCTGAGTAATCTCATAACTGAGTATCCAAAAAAAGGCTGTAGAAGCTCAGAACTAAGTGTATACCTCTGTAGTGAACTAATAGTTGAAGGTTAAAGTCTGATGGCTGTGTTGAGTTTCTACAATGTTAGCAATTCACGTTTCCTGACTGGTTCAGCAAGTTGACTTGCATAATAATACCAGCACTTTGTTCCCAATGCTAGAGCTACTGAATGTTTTAAAACAGAAGGTGAAAATCAGGAACAGAAGATTGTATTTGAGTGCATATAATCTGCAGTTTATTTGCACTGAGCCGTTCTTATCTCAACAGAAACCTGGGCATGCTTATTTGGTTGTCTTGTTGAATCACCAGGTTATTTCACGGAGACAAACCATTGAGCACATGGCGTGCATCACATCCAATGCACGTGCAGCATAAGAGAGAGAAGGCAAGAAACTGGCAATCAATCAACCTAACAAGGATTAGGTACGCTCATGAATAGACCAGCACCGGTAATGCAACACCACATGTGGAAATTTCGCATTGTCGACACCAGTAATGCAACAACACCACATGCCCATGTGGACATATGGGTTATCTCAACCACCTATTCCCTCACATGCAATGCATCTCAACCGTTGGATGCACTGCGCCCCTGGGTCCACACCCACCCACCCACCCACCCACATACACACCTATCTAGTAAACCAAACTGTTGGCGAGCTAATTAAATTCAAGCAATTGGAATGGCAGCACAAGCAGCCTTGATAATGGTACCTGAATCCCTGAGCTACGACTTATGCAGGGCCACAAGAACAACCACGGTAGATCACCTCACCCTTGTGATACCCAACCGCATATCCTCCACCATCGTCCTTGCCTCCGTAGGATTGTCACTTGACGGCATGGCCAAAAGTTGCCTCGTCCTCACTGCCCCTCCTGTTCGAATGGAGGTCTCCCCACACCTGTGATGACTGATGACAAGGAGAGAGTGAAGGCCCAAAAAAGCCTTGTTGTCGTCAAGGACTCGCAGCAAAATGAAGTTCTTATGAGTACTACATTGCCGTGCACAACTTAGATAATCATCAGGACAGAATGGTAAATTAAGTATCCGTCTTGAAACCCGTGTGGAGTTCCTCAATGTTGTGCGACAGCATTGGCATTTGTTCTGAGGGTTTCATTCCGCCGGTGCAGCTGGAATTCAAAATCAAGATCTTGCTCTACAACACGAGCTATACAAGACACTGAACTGAACATCTAGAGCACGCAAAAGGAAAGACACTGAGCTGTGGCGCAGGTCTGGGCGCATCTGATGGGGAGACAGGAAGGTGAGAGAGGGGTTTACCCAACATGTACCGTTGAGGCGGCAGATGTCGCCGTAACAGCGGCCACAATGACAATGAGGATCGGCAGCAGAGGCCAGAATCGCAACTGCAGGATCAACAAGATAGAGGGGGTTTAGTCTATTTTGAAGAGGAAAAATCAATCGGAGACCAAAGGAGCACACAAACCTTTGCCGCCCAGCCGCCATGACTGAATAGTGATTACCGAATACGCACGTCCTCGCGTGGCGACCGAATCGGGGCGGCGTTGGCGGTAGGGCGGGGTCAGGAAGACGGAGGACGGGGCGGGGGTGGGAAGGGGCGGGGCGGCGTCATCGGCGTGGGTCGGGAAGACGGCGGACTGGCGAAGGCAGGACGGGATGGGGTCATGGGGAGGAGTCGACGGGACGTGGGGTAGGGCGGCGATGGCGACGAGGGTTGGGCGGGACTGGGGGTTGGGGCGACGTCGGCGGCGTTTTTTATTTTTCTTACGTTTTGACTGGCGTTGCCGCATTGGGTGGAGGCATGGTGGGGTCGATGGGGGTTCATCGCGCCGGGACGTGGGATACGAAGATTCGAAGAGGTCGGACGAAAGGTTTTTGCAAGGATGACACAAACACTTCCTTTTTCATAAATGGTGTGTATATATATATACACACGCGCGCGCAACGGCTTTATTTGAGTGATGCACGTGAAAACAATCAAACGATGATTTTTTTCACAGTTTAATTCACGCAATTCTATATGACCATGAACACTCACGGATAACAAGGCATAATAAGGTCAGTCTCAGTACTAGTTTCATGCTCTCAAACTACAAATAATAGTATATTGTCCGTGCTAATGGTACATGCCATGTTAAAAACAAACTTAATTGATATTTATTCACAAAATAAAACAATTAAGCAAATGCATCCATTCCTGTCCATTAAGAGCGAGCCAAATTAATTGTTTAGGCATTCCATATCTCTTGTTTTGTAATACATTGTTTAGTCCTTATGTCCATCCAAAACCTTGCTGCAATCATGAACCATTATTAGCAAAAGTGTTCGTGTACGTTGCAATGGATGTTTACCCGCTTTCGTCTTCCAAGTCATCACCCGCTTGCTCATAGGCTCATAGTTTTCTCACCCGTGACCACTACGATCCTTAGTGTGTCTGACTACCTATGGACATAGATTGCTTAGCCTCTATGTTGACACCACCCTACGTTGAAATGAGGGATCTATTAATTAATGCTCTATTTTTATTATTTTTACAGTTATTATGGCATTTATAATTTAAGTTAATATTGGTAACCTATAAATTGTATGAAATTAAAATAACTTTAAGAGATTTTTTTCCCATTGCAACTCACACTGACCTATTAATTTATAACATTAATATTCATGGTATCCATGCGTTGGTACTTAAATGTCAAAGCCCTGTGACTTCCTTTAAAATTTATAAAACATTGTAAATCTAATCTCTCGTCAAGTCGACTAGAAGCCAAGAATGTTATGTATGGATGTGTCAAGGAACTGTTCTTTTTGCTGATAATTATAATTGGAGAGTTGTCTTGATTTTCCATACGTTGAGGATTTGTAGGAGTGCATACGTCTACTGCAGAGACAAATTTATTTATAGAACCTTAAGATCTTAGTTCACTGTGTGATGAGTTATATCATTGGCTGAACCAAGTTCTAATATGCAAATAAAAAATGCATCGATAACTTAGTAGTAGAAATCTTTTTTTTTTAATGAAAGAACCAATTGTTCAAAGCGATCCCCTAGGCGACACAAAAAACTGGCAAAAAAATCGGAAAGATCTTGCTCAGGGAAAAACAGCACCGAAAAAATAGATGGAATCGCGGACCAGGGAAAAAAGAAACGGTCGACGGAGTCAGAAAAAAAAGTAAAAAGAAAATAAATTCAGAACAGTCAGCTTAGAAAAAGGTAATAAATGAAAAAATAGGAACAACCGGCTCGGAAATAACATCAATCAATCAATGGAAAAAAGGACGGAACTGTGAACGGTGGTTGAGAAAAAATCGGTAAAACCCGACGGAGACGGAGTCACAGGAAACGGACGGAGTCGTATGACGCGTGGAACCTGCGAGCATTCACTGACTTAAGCACAGGGCAGACCAAAATTACCACGACAGAATTTTTTTGGTTCTTTTTAAAGCAGCGGGCTCCTGTTTCCTTTTGATCCGTTTGTGTGTATTTCTTTTGTTATTGTTGAACAGTAACATGAACAAGGAAAAATGAAACGAAAAATGAAATGGACACGGAAAAAGTAAAACTATTTGAATTAGATTTCTACTCAGGTTACTCAAAAATCTTGCCTTCGCAATAATATAAAAAAGGATTAGAGAGGTCTATTTGGATTAAGATTATGATTCCTAATTAAAGTTACCTCAAGAAACACGGTATATATAAGAGAGTTATATAGAGGTGAAAGGGAGACGATCTCCACGTTCATGGAGATAATTAGGGGAGGTTGGACGAAAAAATGGGTGGAGAAAATTTTTGTCTTTTTAATATTATATAGGTATAGATTAGTAACATAACAAACCCAACAGTTCTGTCAAGGGCATTGGCGCCCAAGGCGGCAGGTAAGCCTGGGCAAAAATAACCGAGAACAAAAAACTCGAATCGAAATAACCGGAATCGAAACCGAACTAACCGAAATCGACTATTTTGGTTCCCAATTCGGTTCCTAGCACTAAGTAACCGAAATATGTCAGGTTAGTTCGGTTCTTGGGCTCAGTTAACCGAAAGAACCGAGTTCAAGCCCAGCTAGACTTTTTGCCCATCTATGCAAGCCCATTAAGTCCAACCTTAGGTATATATATCGACCCAAAACATCCCTCTGTCCCAGTTCTAATGAGGATATGGCACCCATGCATATGACCATGTTTGGTGCATGGTATGGAGGGGTAGAAGGACAACAAGGGTGTTCAACTCAAGAAGGAGGCCCAAGACTAATTCGGTTCGAGTCCCCGAGGTGGAGACCCAAAGCAACTCAAGTTCGAGTCTGTCTCGGCCTTCAGGACCAATTTGCCTTAAACTGGTCACTCAGGACGCATCCGGACTCCGTTTTTGACCATCCACATATGATTGGAAAGCTAATTTGATAAGGAAGCTAATCAAGTGGTCTCACGTCAAATGCCCTTCAGAATCAATGGGAATCGTCGAAACAAGTCAGCGTCCAGAATCTGCCAGGGTGCTGCGACACCGTCTTTTGGTCCGTTGGACCGTGTATCGTGTTTGGATCCATTAGGGGACGCGTCCAGGGTAGGCGACGACCCTAAGACCTTTATAATCATACGCTACCGCCGTCATTAGGTTTTGGGGTTTTTGCTTAGATTAATCTGTCAAGAATAGTTTCGCCGTTCATCGGTTTATGAGACCCTAACTTCGTGAGATTAATCATTCATCTTCAATTTGGTTGTTTTCTTTCTTGTTCTTGCTTGTGTTCTTCGTTGCGCAGGTAGGGATTAGCCTTCTTGGCGAGGTCAACCGGATCCGTGTCTTGGTTGATAACCAGAGGAGTTGTGGTGCTAAGATTACAGGGTTCGATCTAAAGCTGGATCGGTGTGTCATTCTCCGCCACAACGATAGTTACCAGTACCTGACGGAAGATCGGGATTCCCGTCCCCATTAAGTGGTAATCAAAGCTCCAAGTATTACCATCAGGTTTATCATTACCCTAGTTTTGTTTTGTCTTTGTCCTAAAAATCTAGAAAATTGCCCCACAAAAATATTTGTGTTAATCTTTGTTTTCTCCGTATCCTATCACCTGTTGTGATGTTACAATATTTTAATTTCAGTTTGCTTTATTGAGCGGTTGTCCCTTATGTGTCTTCGTTGGTTTACTCGAGTTTTGGTCTAGCATCAAGTCTTGCTTGTGATCTAGCGTCAAAATGTTTTCCCTTATCCCAAACATCCGAGGATAGCTTTCTGTTAAGCACGTGAACATCTCACATAGAGAGTGTTAGATGAGTTGGAGAAAGATAAGTAATATTTGTATGGCCAAAGTTGTCTTCCATCTAAAATAAAATATCAATCTTGTTTTCCTTCGGCTGGTTGGAAAGTATAAATATGTTTGATTATATTTGTTTCCAATTAGCGATAGGACTCTTTGCTTGTTTGATCATACGTACTCATTGGATTGTTTGTAGATCAGTTGCTAACTTGCCTTTTGAAACCAACGAGAGAAAAGGAATTTGCCTACCATCTGATAGTTGCCGAGAGTTTTTTTCCTTCCTTCCTTTGTCACAGAAACTTCCTTGATCTTAGCTGCTGTGTTCCACTCGTTTCCAACACAGTAGCTTCCTTGCCAAAACCGTTGCATGTGTTTCTATCCTGATTTTTGTGCGGCACTTATCTGAAAAAAGGCAAAGAGGTGCAAAAAAAACACATAAAAAAAGAGATAAAAAAGAATAGAAAAAGCAAAAGGTAGAGTGGTGGGAAAAAAGCCGCACCAAAAAAAAGTGTAAACAAAAAGAAACAAAAACAAATTCAGAAGTGCTTGCATCCATTTGTGTCCTTGTGTTGAGTTGTATCGTTGCTTGCTTGAACTAGGTCCAGGACAAGTTTAGGTCGACGACATAGACTAGCTTGGGACTACTTTTTAATCTTGCAATTTCTGAATTAAATTTATTGCTATTCCTTGCTACCATATTTTAAGCCTCCCAAGCTCTACATATATACTTCAGATCAGTACAGATAAATGCCCTTGCAATCTCGGTACCACTGCCTCATAGGTATCACGAACCAGCCGTCGGTTGTGCCACCGGTTGTACCGCCCACTACTTGCGTTGGTAAGAACTTTATAAGAGCTTGGTAAGACGCTTTCACTTGCTGTGAAAAGTGACACCACTGCAACCACATAGTCATTTGATAGGGATAATACTTTTGTGTTGTCTTTTGCTGTCTTCTAACAATGATAGGTTGTTCGTATCCATCGACTTATGATGGTATAGGTGCTGATGAGTACATGGAGTGGAAAATTACCATAGATAACATATTTGCTACTCGCTTTATGTGTCCAAGGAGGAAGGTAAAAATACAGCTAGTGTATTGCAATATTCTGCTTTATCTTGGTGGGAGTTTTAGATCCTTCTGATAAACCTCAAACTTAGAATGATATGAAACTCCTTATGCGAGAAACCTTTGTTAATCCACCTCCTGTTTTGACTTCATATGCTGAGGTGCACCATTTAGAGGAAGAGTCTGTTGTTATTCCTCTTGTTATGACTAACCTTCTGTAGGATAATGTCCATAAGCGAGAGGATGATATGGAAGAAAATGAGGAGCTTACAACCTCATATGCAAATTCAGAACCATCACTTCATAATGCACCTATTACTCCTACTGAGAACACAGGTAATGCCTATGGTGCTACACTCACGGAAAGTGAGAATTGTTTTAATGTACTAAATTTTCCACAAACCATGCTATCATAGAGCAATTGTTAGTGGAACCCTCTCTTGATTTATCTATGTCCCATGATAATTTGCTTGAAGTTCCTTGTGATAAAGATAAATTGGTTGATGATGCTT